ACTGTACTAATTTTACAAAAACATTAGAATTTAACTTAAATTTAATGTTCACTTGATGTATGTTTATCAAAATTAACTGGTAATTTTCATTTCACAACCATATGTGACTTAAATTTGATCAGTAATATAACTATAAATCGCATACTGACATAAAAATTAAAAAGCTTGAATTGTATAAGAGATATTTACGTTAACTTTTCTAATAGACTTTTGAGATACAAAAATTTGTTGCTTAATTCCTAAATATCAATTAATATATTCGCAAGATTTTCTCCGTTTTGAAAATAATTTCATTGTAAATTTTAATAAAAGCATAGAATTCACAAAAAAATCTAGCCTCTGACTCTTCTCTGTATTATTCATCGATGATTTCGGCAAGATGAAAAGAACTGATTTGTCATCAATCAATGTCAAAGCAAAAAACAAGAATTAATATAATCTCTATTAAATTTTACCTCATAATACTATGTTAGATAGTATTTTCATTGACCATTCAATGATGATTCATTGCTTTTTGTTTTTTTTTTCATATAAATTCATCATATTTTTGTTTTCATTGGAATTTAGATCTTAAATGAAAACAAAAAAGAAAAAGGAAAATAATTTATGTAGTTGAATTTTGGTAAAGTTTAATAACGATTAATATAATAACAATAATAAAAAAAACAAAACAAAGAAAATGTAGTCGAACAAGAACAAAAAGAAAAATGAAGAGAATTTTGTTACCTAATGAATACAACTCTAGCTTGAGATAGAATTTAGAAGTAAAAGCGATAAAAGTAGTTCACACGAAAAGAACAAAACGGAAAAGTAAGCATATAAAAGCGCACTGAACCCACAATGAGAACTAAAAACGACATAACCATGATTATTTAGGAAAATGAGAAAACAATTATTAATGACTATGACCATGACCATCATCATGATCATGACTATGACCATGACCACCACTATGATCATGACTATGACCATGTCCCATCCCATAATCATGGCTATGTCCATGTCCGCTACTATCATGATCATGAGTAAATGGTGATGATCGTTGAGCATATGTTGGTGGTGGAACTGAAAAAGGATTTGGATATGTATTAGCGGTTGGATTAAATTGAAAAGGAGCTTGTTGTTGTTGTTGATATTGAGAATCAGTAAATAATGATGTAGGAACAGGCTGAAAATATTGTTGTTGTTGTTGTTGAGGATTTGGCATTTGAAAATTAAATGGAGGCATCATTGGAGGTGGAATTACCGATGGTAATTGTTCAGTTGGACCTTGATTTGTTGATTGTTGTTGAGAACTTGACATTCCACCAATAGATGGAGGCATTACTGGAGGAGAAACTACAGATGGTAATTGATCAGTTGGACCTGAATTTGTTATTTGTTGAACAGAAGGTTGAGATATAGGAGGATATTGAGTGTTAGAAAAACTAGGAACAAATGTTGCAGAATTTGAAGGAAAAGTTGTTGATGTAGTAGGTGATGGATTAAGTGTCATATCACCAAAATATCTTAATAAACAAAAAAAAACCAGTTGTTAATCAGAGAGAGATTATTTTATTCTATCTATTTTGAGGAATATTTTACTCAAAAATAAAAATTATTTTTTTTCAACCTACTTAGCAAATTGATTAGGATCATTTGTTGTTGTTGTTGTTGGTTGAGTTCCACTAGTCGTTGTTAATGTTGTCTCAGTTGTTGTTGTAGTAACTGGTGGTGATGGAACAAATAAATTTGGCACTGTAACTGCTATTGGTGGCATATTAACAGGTTGAAGTGTAATATTCATACTTGTATTTTCATTAAGATTAGATGATGGTATTGCTGAAAGTAATGGTGTTTTATTCATAGCATTATTTTCACTTATAATAGATGAATTTGTTGGTAAATTTCCTTTTGTTACTGGTGGTACAGTTGCCGTACGAATTGGTATACGATGAAGATAACCATAACCAATACCACAACCTAAACTACCTTCACCACCCCATCCAACATTTGGTGTAAGTGTTATTTCACGTGTCATATCACTTTCACTATTATAAACATATAGTTTAAGTGGTTTACCTTCATTACTTTCAATTAATGTAAATAAATCTTCAGCATCATTTAATAATGTATCAGCACCAATAATATAATCGGTATTTGAACGTAAACCAGCTAATGCTGCTGGTGAATGTTGCTGAACATCTAAGACATGCCAAACATTTTCATTTGCTTTATCAAATGTGCAAAATCGAATACTTAATCCAAGTAAACCCTAATTACAAAAAAAGAAAAAATAATTTAAAAACAAAATTCTTTTCTTTTGTTTTTTCATTTCATATTCATACTTGACCACCCCAATTTTCATGTGGAATTAATGTTAATTGTCGTACTGTTTGTGTTTTACTACTATAAACAAGTAGTTCAACTGGTTTACCAACATTTTCTTTTAATACTTCTTTAAATCTATCATTATCTGTATCAAGTCGAATACCACTGATACTAACAATAAAATCAAAATATGCTTCTAAACCAGCTTTATGTCCAGGTGAACCATCTTGTACACGAAGAACATGAAAACCTTCAGTACCACCACCTGGAATTTTTAAATTACTACCACCAAGACCCATTCTAATTGATTTTTAGATACTAAATTTGAAATTTCTTCGTTTTTTGGAGAGAAAGAAATTTCCTATGAATATAGGAATACGTTAGTGATTGTTGGCCGAGTATGACACAATTCTTTATTTGACCAATTAAATATTCAATATTGACTCGTTAGTTTTTCATTGATGAATATATTAAATAAAATTTTAAATAAAATTTATTAAAAAATATATCATTTTTTTTTAATATACTATAAATTTTATAAAAATAACTTCAAGTGATTGTTGTCAATGAGCGACATCTGTTAACCAATTTCAATAGATAGTCATGTGTTAAAGGTTTTTAAATCAAGTTTAAGAAAATAAACATCTCTAGTTATATAAAGATCAATATATATATATATCATTTAAACGAAGAAAGGATTCATTTATAATAGGTGTCTCAACAATTGATTTTTCTGAACTTAATTTTTTTTTGGATTTCTTATATCATAAAAATTCTAACGATTTTTAAAACAATCGAAGTAAAACCGTGATTAATTGTATTCAATCGCTGATTGTAAATTATCAATAAATTAGAGAATATTTGCTAAGAATTGTTAAATTGAGAGTCAAATATAATTTCTACACATTTTTTAAGCTATAATCATAGAGATTTAAAGCTAAAAGAAAGATTTTATTTTAGTATGGATGTCATGAAAAACTTGCCTCTCTTCTCTAAGATGACGTTTCTGTTATCATACGTTTGGTTCTAATTTCTACTTACGATTTCTATTCCATTCTCTGTTTTAGATATTTAATTTATTAATAAAAAACCAACTATATGTGAAGTGGTTTCAGAGAAAAATACAATTTAAAACATCAATTTGTATTGGTGAATGTTTTTTGTTTCTTTTTTTGTTTTTGATTGTATTCTCAATTGACTATGAGCAATTATATGCCGCATTGGTATTTTTATTACACGTTTTATTCATATAGAATAATGTAAATACTTAATTATTTAACAAAAATATCCGTTAACGTAAATTAGTAATAGGAACTTCTCAGTATAACAGTAGAAATCGAGATTACATGAAGAAAATCACATTGATATAGTGCAAAATAATAATCATTCACAAAAACCGACGGTTTATCGTGTTTCAGCTCACAATTATCGTTTTGTTCAATTGTGATTAATCACTAATTTTTCGTGGTTTCGAGGACATCGACCGATTCATGCTGAAAAAAATCGATTTCAAACTCGGTCTCTTTATTCGCCAACTAGGCTATGGATTTATGGCTCGGTTTGCATGAAAAGAAGATTCCCTATTACTTCCATACAGGTCTTATTCACACGCTTATAACGATTAGATCAATGTTCACGTTGTGAATTTAAATTGAATATAGTCATCTCATGAAATACGAGTATTATATATATATCCTCAACTTTAATTATTATCAGGATCGTTAGATCTTTTGAAAAATCGAGAAAGTTTTCTGAAATTTGAACTTTTTTAGATTGCAGCTTCGTTAGAGTACAGATACGAATGTGAGTCTTCCCTTCACTCATACCTGCTTTTGATAAAACATGTTCGAAAAAATTGGAAATGAATGGTTTGTTTTTGTATTTTTTGTTTTTTTTTGTGAACGAATTTTAAGTTTAGTGGAAGAGTCTAATACAATGTGTTTTTTTTTCGTATTAACTAAACAATATATTCATTGAATTGGTGAAATACCTTTGAAAATAAAATATAAGTCAATGAGCACGAATTCAATAGAGCATTTCATGCTAGCATGTTAACATAATGGGTGTTAGTTTGTAAAAAAAATTGCCCTTTCTAATTTTTAAGTTTTTGATCTGACAATTCTAATTATGATTCGCTTTGATCTTGATTGAATAATCAATCAGTATATCCAATTATGAATGTACTGAATTTAGAACTGACTATAATAATCGATATGGGTCCAATTGGAAAGCAATAAAAAATCCGACAATTTATCATAATTGACAATTAAGTACGAGTCAAGGGCAGACATTGATAATTACATGTATAATAAAAAACAACATGTACAATTATTAGATATGACGAAAAAAAAAACAGAATGTTTTCATTTCTTTCTATTTTATCTTGACATGCTTTTTCTTAATGTGTACGCATTCATTTAAAAGAAAGTCCATAATTGAGTCGAAGGAACATTTATTTTTTTTGATGATAGAAATTTTTCATATTATTCTATCCGTTCAACATCAACCATCTATATGTTATCTTTATTAAAATTTTGATAAAACAAAAACAAAAAAAGAAAAGAAGAACACATATGAATATTGTTTAATCATCCACAACAAATAGACAGTAAAGAGAAAGAAAAAAACGAAATATTGACTAGTATAAGAACCACTGTTAATGGTCACTGTCGAAAAACAAATTATATCAATTATACACAACCAAGCAATAATAAACGACGTGCTTTTATATAATAATCATTCATAGTATGTTTATGATGTTGTTTTTGTTCAAATTTTACTACAGCAAAATGACTTTGTTCCATTGTATCTTTTGTATCACCGAGTTCAAGATCTCCTGATAATATATAACCATCAGATATATCATCATCAGTTACTTGTGATGATAGAACAAGACGAAAATAAGCATCTGTATGACGTTGAAATTGTCCAGTTATTTCTAAACGACCATTACCCAAACATTTCATATGACCTCTAGAAATATAAATAGATTCTTTTTTTTTATGTTAATATCTAGTTAATAAATATTCATATAACAAAAAAATTTTGCTACTTATTTATGTTAATATACTGAATTCATTATCATTCAATACACATAAAAGATTTTTTTATTTACTGGTATAACATACATAATTCTAGTTTATTTAGGCACATTTATCGAGGTTAATATTTTGCAGATAAACGTAAATAAATAATAAATTGGTATCTGACGGTTTATTGCGCGTTTGCCATTACTATGCCCTTCTACAACCTTTCATGATCTGTTCTATCTCGTCTAGTCATAAAGACGCTTTTTCTTTTCCTTCATAATATCGAACTCATTAAATCTACTAGTTCACAGCATGTTAATGTCTACTTCCTGTGTTCGTCCGGCTATTACATTTTTCATTAATAATTATAACATGAAATAAAATAAGATGAAAATTGACCATCACTCTCATTTCCTTTTCTCTTCTTTTTTCCGAATCCATGAACATTTACACAATTGCAAGACGAAATCAGATTAGTCATCAAGCAGAAAGTCTACGGCTGCTCGCATTTATAATACGATTAATCGACAACAAAATGAATAGAGGAGGTTTATATTGAGTCGCTGATCATTTTAGTATAAATAAATATTCGTCTATCTCAATTTAGAAACGAGATATTACTCCAATAGAGACATTCTTATTCTTTTGAAAAGCAAAAAAAAGAAAATCTTATTCTCCTTTTCAATTCCCCTATGACGTACCATGAAATATGATTGTCTGTCAATCACACTTGTGTATGCATTTATGGAACACGTAATGTCATATAATCGTATTTGTACTTGAACAGAAAAAAGCTGATGATTATTCTCATACTTTACATGTTACTGTCATTATGTATAAATATATGACAGAAGAACTGACCTCGCTCTATTTTCACCGATGTAATATGCGCGCATGTTGCATGTCACACATACATACAATGTCGAGTAATGCGACTAATTACAGTTCTTTTCAAGACTTACATACATTTACAGATGGAAATCATCAATAGCTTGTAAGGTTCGACGTGCTATCGAATGGTCAATTAAGTTCATTACATATGTATGACAGCCTTCATTAGACACCGAAAATTATGTGTACATCATAATTGTTCTTTTTTTTGAAAGAAGATATATTTTACACATACTTTTTCTCTATTCATAAGTTATAGAAGTATTCATTTACATTGACTAAAATTTTCCGCATGTTCAAAATAAAAAGAAAATGGGTGATGATTGCTTCGGGAATGAAAAGCAAAAATGATTATGCTTTTTCTTTTCTTTACTTCATTATATAATCTTTTTACAAGAATTGAAGTGCACTAAAAGAAAAAAAATAAAAGACCAATAACGTACTTGGTGATACTTGTTCGATGACCCAACCGTTCAATAATTTGACATTTTGTTTTTGACCACCAGACTGTTTTAATTGTCCAATGTGAAATAAGAGCTGGTTTTGGCCAACTTTCATAAGCATATAAATGAATTTTTGTTCGACGTTGTTCACCAATTTCACGTAATAATTTACGACCACATTGACCACGACTTTCTTCGTAATAGAACGAATCGGTCAACTTCATTACTAACAAAAAAATGAGATAAAATAAGAAATATGAAATAAAAAATGTTATCTGATAAAAAATTTTCTTTTTTCAATTTTTTTATTTGTATACATACTTAATAGTCAATGATCACAATTCAATAGTATCTTTATATATGTCAAAAAAGTAAAGAAGGAGAATAATCACAATAACTATGACGTGTATCTCTTCAACCAGTAATAACTATAAAAAAAAAGAAGATAAGCGAGAAGACAAACATAAGAAAAGAACTCGTTTTTCTTGCTCTCTTTCTCTCTCTCTCTCTCTCTTGTTCTCGTTCGTTAATGAAACAAAGAAAGACGATCCGTTGAATAGTAATATTATTTTTCTTTTTCTCTTACTGAATATTACAAGAGAAAATGAACAGTTTTTCCTAAGGCAACAGAAATAGAAAAAAAGAAAAGAAGTGCTATATTGCTTGTTCATTTTGACAGAATATCGTCTTCCCTTTTATTTATTTTTTTATTTAAAGAATGCCATTTCTTTCTCTTTCGATTACGCTTGAAGGCATAGAGAATCAATTTCCCTCTGTCTATATTCTATTGCTATGCATGAAGTCGAGAATGAATGAAAGAGACAACAGCTAGTCTAACAACAAACTAGGTTGTCTTCGCTTGAGACACCCGTCGTTGATTAGTACTTCGCACTATGAAACACACACAAATCCATCCAATTTCATTATGTAAATAAATGTTGATGACGAGTACTGCAAGGGTACATTGGTCACCATGTGGTCGCATCAATACTGACCGATGGTGAATATCTAATACAGAAAGTCATATTAGCGGCAGGCCATTCACAACATTCAACATTTGGTCATACAAACTGACTGGATTATATAAGATTGAATAATAATAATAATAATATGCAGTACTGTTGCTAGTGCTCAATTATAATACTATTGATAAGAAATGAATATAACAAAAAAAAAAAAACGACTTCATTTATTTAGTTGATTTATATGAAAGATTATTAAAGCAATCGAGCATAAAATACTAGTCTATGATTGATTTTGTCACAAAGAAAAAGAATCTTTGCAAAGAATGGTATCAATTTCACAACTGAATGGCATGTCTTATGACTTTTTTTTTGACTATTGTTGTACAATATAAATAAAACATTATCTATATCGATACTATCAGAAAGAAAGTACAAGATATTCTTATCGAGTAATTATTCAATGCTACAATAGGAACTAGATGCCTAATATTGATATTAGATAATAAATGTTCTACTACACGTATTCTTTTTGTTTTAAACAAAAATATGCAATTAGAATTTCATCTGATATATTGTCATCTAGATAAAGACTAGTTGATTGTTGATATATTTTCTATTTACAACAAATGATTAATTACTCGAAAACAATAGTGTTTATTAATTTTCTACGTATAGAAACATGATAAAAATTATAAATATATCGAGAAATAATAGAAAAATTTTTACAATCAGCACCACAGATAACAGACTTTCTTCATTGAATAATCAGAAACTACATTTAATAATTTAATTGATGCGTGATGTTTGCTGTTTCATGACAGCAACAATTTTATATTATTTGTATGTCGCAATTGCTTCTTTTATATAAGCTAAGATGAATATGCCTTCTAGATATTTTGAGTAAGAGAGTTGATTAAACATATAATCAAAGTAAAGAAATTGAGTTGAAACATCACTCAGTGATGCCTAAAATTTTCAATCTTAGTCAATATATATATTCTTTTTCTGATATATAAATATCAAACTGAATGTTATTTGTTTAGATAAGAAATGAACAATATAAGATTTAAATTGACTCTTATAAATCCAATCAAAATATCTGAACAATGAACATTTTTTTGTTAAGTATATAAAATCAAATAAAATGATTTCTATTTTCTTATAAATCTAATAATCATTCTATTATATTTCATATATTTCAATATCTTAAATAATTCAAAAACAAATTTGATATAATTTAAATTTGAAATAAATCATAGTTAATCTTTGTTCTTCTTTTTTTTTCATGTCAATATTACACTACTCGTTAACTCATTTGTTATTTGATCTTGATAAATGAATAATTTCTTAAACATTTCATATATTCATATATATTTATTTCGATTAGTCACTGTATATTATATGTATATATACATATATACATTTGTCTGTTTTCTTTCATCTATCCCTATTATTTTAACATAAAAGATAATATACGATTATAGCCAAATTACATTTTAATTGTGCTTACAAGTATACATTGTGATGAAGTATAAAATTTATCGAAAAGGAGTGATTAATCATCCTAGGTCACAGAGGACAATATTCGTTTTTTTTTCTTAATGTATAAATAGAATAAATGTGTGCATCAAGTTGAAGGTTTACCCTTCAAATTAATACTGATTTTATCTTTTTTGTGAGCTGTCAATGCAAAAAAAAAATGAATACCTGTAGGTCATTCATTAGAATTATTATGGTTATGCAAAATTAATTAACATATATTTTGCTACGTGTAAAATGCATATAATGGAAAAGATGTTTTCTTTTTACAAATCTATTCTAATTTAAAATGTTTTGAATTCTGTAAAAATATATACGCATAATATTATTTCAATTTAGAGACAGATTGTTTTTTTTTTAAAAGTTTCATTAAAATAAATTGAAAGTTTTTTATGAGATCGATTTACATCTAACAAAATTAATTAAATAAAAAAAATCTATTGGATACTGAGACTCAATTCAAAAATTTTCATTATTTATTACTAATTCGAAACTTGATGTTATCTAACTTTTTACCAATTTTTATTTTTAGTAAATGTTTAGATGATAAGATAATAATGACGAATATCTAGGAAAGAAAAATTGTACGAATATTTTCGCTGGTCAATTATGATATATTTTCAATGATACAATTATTTCCATCAAGTATTTATTAAAAAACCTATGAGTAACGATCTGTATTTTTGCTTGACAGGTAAATGATACCAGCTAAATACATGCCGATTATCTAAATATATGTCATGATTACTAGAGATTTTCTATCTTTTATCTTTATAGCATCTGCATTCTTTTCTCTCATGTTGATTGCAAGCAATCTTTTGGGTCTTCTTATTTGCGAACATAAACTGTTAAATTCAATTTTGTTTTTGTTTTTTTTTTCAATGTAAATTATTCAAATAGAATACAATCTCAAGTCTCAAATTTTTGTTGCTTAAATTCTTAGAAATTTACTTGTATCGATTTAAGAAAACTTGTTTTATGACTTATATGATTTTTAGAAGATGAATCGAAAATTTGAAATTTTCGTTTTTTAAATTTTTAAAAAATTTAGTTATAATAGTTTTAATAAAATTTATTCCTTTAGTTTTACTTTTAACTAGCTGTAATTTGTAAAGCGAACTAAACTACTGCTCTTTTATTTTTTTTTTTAATTAACTGCAATTTATAGAATTCACCAGACATAATTGTTATTATGAATATTATGGGTTTGTTTTTTGAATTTAAACATACCATTTAATTGCTATTATAACATGGAATCAAACACTAAATGGATACAAACCAATTGAGATGCAAAGCATTTATATACAAAAATAATAATATAGAACATGATATTCAAAAACAATACGAATTTAAAATATGAATGTTGGCGAGTGGTTTCTCTTCACAAATACTATCAATTATGCTAAAATCTCTTTGAAGACGTGCTTTGAGTTTAATTAAAACTTTTCTTAGCTAAGCCTCAATCAATAATCCTTGCTCGTGCATTATGAGTATTAGTTTATTAAAATAAAAAAAAAACAAATCAATCAGCTAGTCAATATCTATCCTAAATATCGAGTTCTCTTGCATAAAAACTCATCTTATATCTAAACGATAATAATAATTTATTTTAAGACTTAGATTGTTTTCAAAACATGTTAATATGCGTACATAATTTTATCTGATTTAATACTCAATAATTACTATTTATAGAAAAGGCATCATATCGTTCTTTTTACTCTGTACACCTTTCTGCATATCATCTCAAATCTACCTCAATCAATAAATTTTTTGATTAAAAGCTAACGTTCTCTATATATTTTACCACACTATTTCAAATAATAAATCTTTATTGAACAAAAACTCATACCATCAACAAATTTCAGTGATTTTTCTTATAACGAAAATCTTCATTTCCACAAATTGTAGTAACTTTGTTTTCTATATGTGCTCGCACTGGTTAAATCTTTAAAAATTAACCGCCAAATTTAATTGTTTTATATAAAACTAATAAAAATGTCAACTTTAAATCAACCAAAAATTTATGAAAATGCTGTTAATGATCAGTATATTCTTAAAATTGAATATTATATCTGATATCTTCATGAAAAAACCATATTCTTGATACTACGATATGATGTTTGCTATTGGAATACTTTGGATCAAATAACGTAAGATAGAATATTGCCAAAAGTGACATTATGTTCACATATATAATCAGAGTAGTAGTGCGACCAGATGAGATCTATAGATATGATAGAGAAGCTGATTTCTCTTTACAGGATTTTCTTGATCACATCGTCATAACAAAAATAGATGGAATCACCTAGCTTTGATCGATTGAATTCATTGTGGTAATATCAAAAATAGATCTCTTATGATTATAAACAACTCAGGCAGGCCTTAGTGACCCAACAATAGGCCCGAAGATTGGTCGAAAGTTGAACATAAATATTTTTTTGTGTTCTGTTTGAATATCGAACTATCGGAACTATTCTTTTATCTTACACTCATTTCAGATCCTTCGGACATATTTTCATCACTCGATATCTATTGAACTTTCGACTAATCAGAGGATTGTCGATGAGTTTTCGAATATTTGAAACTACGCAAATATGTAGATATTCTGTTAAATAAAACAGAATAATAAAATGATTTCTAGTTGTAGAAACTATTTGATTTCTTTGCTCAAAGTTGATTTTTTAAACTTTATTATGGTTCAACGTGTTTTGTTAAAATCTTGTGAACATATTTTACTTAAAATTTAATCTTGATTATAGTATTAAGATGGCTTATTTCTCTTTAGTTGCATGCAGCTCGATTATACCGCTTTTCAACAAAAATAACGTTAGATATCTCGATAGAATGCTTGTTTCAGGATATCGTTACATAACTCATATTGCACATTGGTTTACACTACCGTCAGTGGATTGTCGGTCGGAGAAGAACTATCAGTATACCACGGTAGAATGACAGTCACAACATAGACGACGATTTTTGTCTGATTTAAATCTCATGCTTGCTTGCTTGCTAGTTGCACTTCAGACAAAAAATAATGAGATTTAAATTAGAATAAAAATTCTCCTTTATGAATTTCTGTTTTAAGCTTGAGTATTAATTTAAATTGGTAGAGATTTAGATCATGGACTAGATTAACTATCCATTCATGTTGTTTCTGTTAAAACTATGTTTAGATAGATTTATTTACATTTCTTCGTCTATCTATAAATTAAAACTATCTCAGATAAGATTTCATGAAGACTTTTTGGACATTCAAACTGAAAGTAAAACATTGTAGATCCATCAAGTTGTTCACAAGAAAAATTTTATTGATATAATATTATCTCCCGTTTTTGTATCCCAATTTTGGTTAATAATTGTGATGAGTAACATTCATGTTCAGCTAGTAATCTTTGTAAAACATTAGTCACAAACTATTTGATTAGACTTATCAGGCATCGTTTCTATGCAGAGTTGTCGACATTTTGTTATAGGTTGGTAAGACAAAAAAATTCTTGCAGCAAGCACTATCATACTTGACGTGCTAAAAAGTGCTAGCCGAGACGGGAAGAACGAGACCCATCGTGATTTGACCCTTCCCACAATAGACGACCTGTCACCAGGCCATCCTTTCACCAACTCTATTCAGTTCGCAATGACATTGTCTATTTATTCCACTTTCTTCCCAAGAAAGGCGAATGGTATTTCAAAATCCGATTTCTGTCCAAAATTATCACGACGCTGTAGCAAATTGACAAAAAGTCGGACACTTTTTGAGATGAGGTTCACCATCTTTCCTCCACCCTGATTTCATGTTAGCAACGATCCATAACATTGATCAAACCACTGAATTGATTGATCCAGCATGCTTCATATTGTATAGAGCACATACATTACTCATAATCGAATATTATTCATAGATTGATTCCAGTTATAAACTAGAAACATTTTCTATTGTTAGCTCTAATACCAACGACCATTTTGTTAAAATCCATCTGTATATTTATGTGATATATGTATATATATATATGTATACATATACCAATCTAAACTTATTTTGACACATGTAATCAAAGCATGCAATACCAAATTATTCAGTATGCCATATGTCAAAAGATGTCATATTGACAAAAGAGAAATTAACAATAGTTTGTTTAACATTGTTCATTATGTATTGCTTCTTATGGAAAATGGTATATCAATAATGGCATGCAACATGAATATTGAAAAGAAAACGAAGAAAACTAAGAACAAAAAATACGAAAAAAAAAACACAGATGATCATCGACATCAATGGTGCTTGTATGTCCCATTGTATATATACGCACGTAGACAAGGTTAACAAGAAAAATCAAAAAAAAAACAAAAAGTCATAATTATGCTTGCGTATGTATAGTAGCTTCTTATTTTTTTTTTGATTGAAAGAGAAATAGAAATATAAAGGTTTAAAGTTCAACATTTATTCAGAAAAGAAAAACAAACGAGATTTTTGCGTTGATTCATCTTGAAAAATTATATAGATCTACGTAATAGACAGGTACTATCAACAAAGAAAATAAATAAATAAATAAATGAGTTAAAGAAATTAATTTTTTGCAGTTTCAATATTAGGATTATAAAAATCCAAACGAATACAAAATTCTTCAATATTATATTTTTGAAGCCAACCTGCTATGGTTTGTGCACGTGAACGTGTACGTGGTGTTCGACGTTTTCTAATAATTTTTATTTTCTTTTTTATTGGCATTATGAGTTTTCGTGATGACATTGACGATTCAGTTGATAGTCGTCCATTTGGTTGTTGAATTCTTTTCTTTTTATTATCTTTATCATTTTGTTGATTAACTATTTTAATTGGTGAAATTGGAAGAGTATTTTGTCGAGTCTTCACTTGATTTTTATCATTATCAACATTTTTATCTTCTTTGGTTTCATGATTATTATTATTATTATTATTATTGTTATTTGAATGATTACATTCAATTGTTTGAGTTGAATTTGTTGGTATTGATTTTGATTGTTCAATATTATTATTATTATTATTGTTATTATTATTATTGGTGTTATCATTATCGTCTGCCGAAAGTCGTCCACGTTTACAGATTTGTTCCACAATAGGTATATCTTCCATTTCACTCCTCAATGATCTTTTTTCACTTCTATTGACTTCAATCGAAGTTTCTTGTACAAATATTTTCCTTTTATTTTCTATTTTATTCGCTATACTTGCCTTTAAATCTTTATCCGATGATGATGAAGTATTTTCTAGTACAATTTTCTTTTCTTCATCATCTATTTAAAAAAAACATACATATATATGTATATATATATATAAATTTATTTATTTAAATTATTTGACTTACTATTAGATAATGAATGCATTCCTTTTTCAATATAATCCCAATGTTTTTCAATATCTTGAATATCAACTAAACGTGTAAAACTTATTGTTTGTTGATTTTGTGGTCGAAATCGATTGATCTTTTTTAATCGTAATAAACGAAGCATTCTTGTTTCAAGTTTATCGATTATTGATGAATTTGGATAGAGCATACTACATAATGCTTTAATTGAAATACATTCCCGATGAGCATTGGAATCAATGCCAGAACATATGTAAGCTATCATTGAATGACCATGAAATGTAATTACTTTTTGATAACGATTTGATGAAGATGATGCTAATGGTAGTTGAGATGTTGAAGCAACAGAATTATTATTTGTCGATGGTGATGTTGGCGATGGAGGTGGTGTTGATTCAGCAAACTAAAAGAAATTTTTTTTTAATAAATAAATCAGCCTATTTCCCAAATTACTCCTTGTCTACGCACATGCATGAGAAGTAGTTGTATACTAGCTTATTTGTTGCAAGGGGCGGTACCTTTTCTTTCATCTTTCTCTTTCTCAATCGTCTTGTTAATATATGCTAATAAGACAATTGAGAAAGAGAGATGAAAGAAAAGGTACCGCCCTTCACAACAAATAAGTTAGTATATGGCCACATTTCATGTATGTGCATAGCGAACAAGTATTTCGCGAATAAGACTCATTGACATGTTTGTTTTATTTTTTACCGTATTTGTTGCTGCTGAAGAATCTGACTGAACAGTTTGTCCTTGTGAAGACGACGGTACTTTAGCTGAAAAACAAATGAATGTATGTAATTTTGAATAATTTTCTTTTTTTCTTTTATTCTTACTTTGATGTTGATAATTAAGTACATTTAATGGAAATTTATCATTAAATAAAAGTATTAAATCAACAGTATATTCTTTTCGTGCCGATTCAATATCAATTAATTTAGCATTATGTAAATTTATTGACATATTACTAAAAAATAGAATTAATTGAAGAAATTCATTTTCAGCTGCTGTTGGTGTGGTTAATGATGCTGATGATAAACATTGTGATGATATAATAAAATTTTTTAATAGATTATTTCCAATAAATGGTACAGTTTGTTCATGTAATGTTGTTATATTACGTAAACGACAAATACCACCATTAATTTGTACAATTGATGACCAATTTTTACAAATAGATACTTTTGGATCATTTAATGGTAATTCTTTAATAAATAAAACATTAGTTGAACAATATTGATAAAATGTTAATAAATCAATAAGTTTAGTATCATAAGAAAATGGTTTAATATTTTGTTTTAAACAAAGTTCATTAATAAGTTCAATTTCTTGTGGTGTACCAAGTGTTTGTTCAAATGAAAATGATAAATCTTTTGATTCATTTGTATGATTTTCTGATGATGGATTTTTAAGAAGATCATAAAATGTAAGAAGACTAATAGGTATTTTATATGAATGATGATCTGATGTACTTGATGATACGTAAGGTGTATAAAGTTTATTTATTTGTAACCAACCAGAATTAAGTTGAGATGATTTTGGTACTGGTGATGATGATGATGCTACTGCTGCTGCTGCTGCTGATGATGATGATGATGACTGTTTAGGTATCAGTGTCAATTGTTTTTCTGTTAACGTTGTTGATAATGTTCGACTAGTTGTTACTATAGGCGATGAAACAATAGGATCTGGTGATGAAGAACTGTTCGCTAGTATTGGTGTAGTTGATGTTGATGGTTCAGATACAGAAGTTACAACGGGAGTAGTCAAAGATTTATTTGGAAGCACTATAGGATAAGACAATTATCATTAAACAAAACATGATTGAATTCTGATTTTGATAAGATTTTCAATATCAAAAGTACTTTTAAATATTTACAGATTACTCTTAATATATATTTCTTTACCTGTATTTGTTGAGTTAATAATAGTATTTGACGATGTTGCTTTCGGTTGTTGAATAGATGGTGGAGGTAATTGTGATTTTTGTTGTGTAGAAGATTGTTGTGATACTTGTCGTGATAATGCTAATATTTGCATATCATATTTTGATGGTGGTGGTGGTGGACGTAGTATAGGTGGTGCTGGTGCTATTGGTCGTGGAGTTGATGGAATATTTTCACGATGTGATTCTGATGCAACATATGATTGTATTTGAGTAGATGTTGTTGCAAGTGGAGTTGTCAAATGTTCATGAAGTGTATTTGGCATATTAAAACCAAAATCTAATGATTGCTTTGTAGTTTGTGGTAAAATTGGTCGAAATGAGCCTGTTGATGTTGTTGATGGTATAGATGTTGGTTTAAATGATATACGAAGATATTCATAAAATGGAAGAAAATCGGAAACACGTACAAGCTCATCAGCAACAGTAAATGGTTGTCGTGAATATGTCCAATGAGAATGTTGAGAATTTATTCTATTTAATAATTCAAGTTCATTTGAAGTTGCAACATATAATGCAATCGGTTTTCGATATTGATAATAAGCTGAACGACGAATAATATCTTCAGGATAGTCAGCTAATAATTTACGAAGCATTTTAACACAAAAATATTTTGTAGTACCACTAAAAGAGTAAATATTATTAGAAAATATAATATCTTGTTTTTATTTTTATTTTCATTCTTATTTATAATCCTCTATCATAATATTCTATGACGTCTTCCATCAGAAGTTTTATGCATAGGATACTTGCAGATTTGTTTGTTTTTTTAATATTCTTATGTTATCAGAAAGAAAATACTACACAGATATCATCATTCATAACTTTGGAAAATTTGATTACAATTCTAAGCATTAAACAGCTTATTCATCATCTTTCCGTCATTTGCACTTGAGACATTTTTTATTAGATAAGTAATTATATATTATTTTTCCTTTTGGAGTTATGTATATATATATATATATATAACCTTGTCTTTCTTTTAGTAGCAATTAGATATTAGCATTGACAGTAAAGAATGAGTACTGTGTAATAAGATACCCATTGAACATTGAAACATATAATACTCAAGGAAATTTTTTTTTCTTAACAATATTAATGGACGAAACTCATTAGGTTATAATTGGAAACCGTCTGCTAATATTGACCTTGATCTTAGTTTAAGAATACTCTGATTGTAGACATCAATTATTTATAACCAATGAAAGAATATGATTATTCGGAAAATAGAAACGATCTTTTTTTCTAGATTTTATATTGATTCTCAAGAGCCCTTTAGTCGCTTTAATTTTCTTTCAAGTATATATAATAGTCATACGGAAATGCTTTCGCACAGAATTTTTACTGCGCTATACGCCTCTATGTTCTTTACAATAGTAAATAGATTGCATAGTTCTATCATAAGAAATATTCTTCTTGATAGTATATATTATTAGTTTCATTGTCAACACTTTCTTATAGCTTAATATTTCTAAATTGAGATTCTTTTGATAATGGATCACGTCATTTTTTCACATACAAATCAAATCATCAATATATTTCTATAATGTCGATGTCATATAGACCGACTGAAAATCATCAAATGATTTTGATTATTTTGGTGATAGATGTTTAAACGTGTATAATGCATTTCTTTTTTTCCTCATTAGCCCATATATGTCCCATCACCAATCAAGAATGCTCTACATGATATATCTCACTTTATAATCTATCGTTATAGCAAAAATACGCTTGTATTCGAAAATATTTTTCATTAAAACAACAAGTAATCAGAACGAAAAGCTAAAAAGCGAAAATTGCATTATGAAATATTTTACTAGTCATAAGATTAATCAAACGCAATTTAGGCATGCATCCTTGAAAATCTTATCCCAAAGGTAAGACAGAAAAAAAACAAGGCTATTGCACATGCTTGCCGTGTTGTTTGTAAAGAACGCAAATGTGTATGATTTTATTAACTTTTCATACTATTATAGATGCATATCTAATATACATTTTTTCTCATTCTGTTTTATTTATTTTGAGACGTATGTGTCATGCATTCAATCGATAGTTATTTTAGCAATGCTACAATATGAAGATGGAGCTACTAACAATGTTTTTATCTCATCTAACTTATTAGTAGTTTCAATAATTCAATAGAATACTTTTTATTGACTAAATTTCTTTAAAAAAGCATAAATAAATAAAACTAATATTTACATACCGAAAAATAACAGGCATGTAGGTGTCGCCAAGTGCTATTTTTTCCCATGCGAATCGGCCTTTAATTGAAGATATATCGATTGCATGTATATCAGTTGATCGTTGAGGAATGACGATTGATGTTGTTTGAAATAAATGTGGTTGTGATGTAAGAGATACCGTTGATGTGATTGGTACAGCACGTTTTAAATGATTAGTGCTTCTCAATTGTTCGTTTTTAATCATCATGATATATGCTGACAAGAAGAAAAATCAAACTAATTTATATAGTTAAAGCATACTGTAATAGAGATACCTTATTGTGATAGAAATATCAGATTAAAATAAATTAATCACTAATTCATCTAGTATGGAAGAAATAATAGAATCTAGAACAAAAATAAAATAATATTTTTGAACTTATTCTAATGAAAGAATAGCTTAATATTATTGCATGCGATACTAGCGACATAGCTCAATGCAAATAATCCTGGTAAACAATACACGCACATGCACGTACAGAACGAAACAAATAGAAAAAATTGGCGAAGAATTCATGTTCTTTAGATTTATGAAGCGACCTGATAAATGTCATTACACCCTATTCGATGAGGAAAGAAAAAGAACGAGAAAAAATAATGATAGAACGAGAAGAACAACATATCTGAGAAAGAAAACAAGAAACAGTGGTGAAAGCCTCCTTCTCGCGCAAAACTCATGCATTCTGCAAATAAAAAAAGAAAGCGAAGGCGTCGACGGACGAATGGGAATGAGAGACCGATAGATAAGCAAATAGAAGTGTATAGAGTAAATAGAATAGAATGCAAAGAAGGCGAGCTTCTCGGTTCTTTATTCTCTCATGGATAAACAAACAGAGAAAGGAAAAAAAGCACTTCAAATCATGTCAATCAGTGAATGTATATTTTTCTAATGCATATGATGGAAGGCAGACACTCATAAAAAAAGCCAACTTATGCAAATAGAGCAACTACGAGCAAGGCTTCCCGATGCTTTTTTCGACGTATTACGCCGAAATGTAGGAAGAGAAATTGTAGCTCCAAATTAGCATAAAAAGCAATAAAGCATTAGGTTTTTAATAGCTTACTACTGACAAGAGCATTAATTAAGCTGAGCTATACAGCTCATTGTTTAAAAATGCAACTTTACTCGGAAATACGATAGTTAATGAAGCCTACAGTCTATCATTGCAACATTTCATCTTTTTCTCAATACTCTTCTCTTCATTCTGCGCTATAGGCTACGACAGACGGAAATATCTATTAAGATGTGTCTACGATAACAAGGAGAAGTATCAGATATCTGCCAAATTCATATGATGTACATGTAAGAAGTGTATCCCCTTTTTTCTGTAATTAGCTACGTTGCCAGATTATACAGCATGCTTTACATGTCTCAAAGGATTATTATTTACTCTTATAAGAAAGTAAATAATCCCGAGCAGTATTTCTAAAACTGTATCTACATCTTAGAAACATAATCAGGAAAAGATTTATGTTGTAATTATGCCGCAAGAATATTTCAGTTTTCTATAAAATATCTTCATCGATAGAAGATTTAGAAGGGTATGATGTCACACGGAAGTCTTCGTTATTAATCAGAGATAATAAGACATCCTTAGTAAACTTTGATGAAAAAAGAAAAACTCACGCAAGCAAGATCATAAAGTGTTAATAAAACGATCTGAAAGCTGTCAGAGAACTGTAAGTAATTCTCTTACCGGAAATGAGAAGATGCTAATTAACGATGAGTTTTATGCAGAAGAATCATAAGAACATCTTCTCAATCAGATACTGATTCAAAACTTTCATCTTCTTTTATCATGTCTTATATTGCAATCAAAAGTTTGTCTACGAAATCTTAGGTTGATACCTTTCATCATCAATATTTTCTTAGTGAATTATAGAAATAACGAACTACTAAGAAACAGAGCCTTTCGCATAGATCTGCAATAGTTACACTCTATAAGCCGAAGACACTAGGTTTTTAGTAGATATCTTGGTAATATGAGATTCTGCAAAGAACATTAGGAATACAATTAAGAATGCTATAAGTAATCCTTTTCAATCTAAATCTATGACTACAAAATGTATGAAATTCTGATTACATTTAACTTATACGTGCTTGGTAAGCCGATATACTGAAGTAAAGTAATACTTATTGTAGACTTTTAGTTAATAGTACTCATTTGGATTGAATAATTATTTTGAAGATGTCACCTGTTGACTAGGAAAAGATTTCGTATCTTAATCGTAATTACAGAAAACAACTAGCATGTCATACGCTATATACATCGTATATTCGAGAAATGGCTATATCCAAGAGATCAATAATATTTCGATATATTAGATTAAAATAACATGTCCTCCTTCTACTGCTAGACTTTGGCTTTTCTATTATGATTCATCAAATTAGTCAAAGTTTTGACTATTTCTGCGAGGGAAAACACAAACTTCCCATGAAGCAATTCTTCTTGGGATCTTCTAGCATGGAATAATCTTATAATATAGGGGGAAGGGAAAGGAGGAAGGACAGAGAATCTATGATAGAAAGAATTTGGGAAACAAATGGCAGTGGATAAAGCTTGTCCCATAAGAACCCGATTAGTATGTAAAAATACCCGCAGAGGATTTATCAAACGCTTCTTAGAGAAAAATAGGTACACAAAAATAGCCGAACGAAAAAAAGCTAAGAATGCGACATGATAAGCATGGAAAGAAAAGGGACTTTGTTATTTGTCTACTAGTAGAGCTTACTTCAATTCTTGGTGACCTATATCGATGAACTTGCAGCAAAAATTGGTGGAAAAATAAAGCATATATGCTTGCGAACTTGCAGCAAATACGAGACAAAAAACTCGATGCAATGTATTTTCTTTTCTTGTTACTTCCAATCTCTTTTTCTATCCTTCTGCACACATGCATTTGCTTTGTTGATATAATGAAAGTGTGCATTGCTGCCGTCCGTCGATGCTTCTATTCCTTTTGCAACTTTTTTTCGCATCACCAATTTACCCATAAAACAAACAACATTATACAGCGAAACATGACAATGTTGATTTGAATTGTGAAAAATGTCGAAACAATTTCATGCTGCTAAGTTATACATCAGTTTATTAATAGCGAACAACCAATCAGAAACGAATAATCTCAATGACGTTATTGCCAGAAAATTGAAAATACTCATTTTATTACCTGTGTCGGGCAGTTTTCGTTCCATTAGGCATACAGTTACGAGTGCAACTCATAGGAAGGAAGAACTTTTTTCGTTGTTAAATGAAAGAAATTGCTGCCAGACTTTTTTCTTGACATTAAGACAAACTTTCAATTATGTTTATGCTTACTTCTATATTCTTTTTGCATTTTTATTTCTTTCGACGTACAAATCGTAATATTTACTCAAGTTATGTTTGTTATGTATCGATTTGGATCGCTTTTGAATGGCTGTGTATAGTATGCATTGTTGTTGTTCGATGAGATATAGTTATCGGTATATGATTGGTTTGTATATTTAAATCGAACTCCTTAATACATTGTAATTTGATATGCATATAGATTCTTGAAAAAAAAATTTTCACCTATTTACTTTCTGATAGAACGCAAAAAAAAGCTTTTAGTGCAATTTCTGCATTATTAAAATGTGAAACATTGTAGAGCTGCTAACATTGTAAAAGAAGAAACTCACCAACATAGGTTTCGGTTTTTGAATTCTTATCCATTGTTAATGCGTATCCATGATGAACGATGATAATCGCGTTATATACTACAGCCAGTCTGGAAGAAGGGCAAAGAACAGTTATCTTAAATTCAACTGTGTTTCATACTCATCTTGCAGAAGCTACCGGTACGGCGACTATGCTCGTCATGCTCCATGAAAAGAGGACGGCAATACTAAAGTATTTGTCATCGTCCATGACCGAGGAGTTCCGCTACTAAGGTGTCTATCAAGGTTTGTGATGGAGAAAAGAGGGCGTTGCTAAGGTATTTGTGATTGCCTGTGGCGCTCCCATGGTAACGTCTACCATGGTTTGTAGGAGAAGAGAGTCTGAAAATTCTAGTCATATACGTCACACTCCTTTTAGATCATGTTTCACAAAACCTTCTTTTTCTTCATGGTAACAGACAAGCGATAGTTATAAATTACTCTCAGAAAAATATGCATAGTCTCATAGGAAAGAGGCCACTTCAAGATTCACTTTGCAAAAATAGAAAATACTTCTTAACAAATTCTATCATACTTTTAACTTGAATGCGGCATTTTTTCAGTTGTCTACTCATCCTGCGGCAATGAGCCTTTCGTGTAGACACTGCATGTGCTAGTTGCTAGTCTAATGAAAAGATTCTGAATGAATAATTCTAACTTTTATGTTTGGTAATACTTATGATCGATTCATATGCATGCAATATAAATGCTTGAAAGAATGTCATAGAAGCTTGAGTAAGTAACTTTTGTGTCACGTAAGCAGTTTCTCCAACAACTTACAATAATTTAATTAAAATGTTTGCACAGCGCAACTATAAATTAAGCTATATTTAGATAATTAAAGATAGTTTTCGTAGTATAGTACAAGACAAGAAATATAAGATACTCCAGATGTGTTTTTGAACTTAATAGATTTTGTTTATATATTCATCATTTACTCGAAATCAATTTGAAAAATATCGTAAGAACTATGAGTGTCCAATCAATAACAACGGAATAATTTAGCATAGGCATCGCAAAAGAATTATGGGTTATTAGATTTATATTGTACATCAAGGAAATTTCCATTTTCTCAAGCGATACTAAAATTTGCTCTTGTATTTTCTTCTGACTATCTTTCTGACAGTACTTTTTAGCTATCTAATCACCTCATAGAGACAAAATGTTGAAAGATTAAACATACAGTCATAACTAAAGACATATTTTCAATGGGTAGTGACATATATCATTAGAAAAACTGACCCTTTGACACTAAGCGACAATGAATGAAAAACAACTTTGATCTGTGCTAGAGAAATTAATTATCACAATTTTTTCGACAAAAATATTAATTCTCATAATATCTAATAAGATGCAAATAAATCTAACATATGCTGATCAACATAGTATAGGGCGCAACATAAAAGCTTTGCTAATGAAAAGGTAGATGTGAGTATGCATATAAATACTCACCAGAATATAATACAGTGTCCACTAATGGGAATATTAAGCATTGCATGAACGTGCCATATTCAGTCGCCGTATCGATG